CATTATAAGATTTATTCTTCTTCTGCTACTTTTCATTTTATTTTGATTTGTGTATTTTTTGTTTTCGATTGTATATATTTATTTTGTTTTTTAATGAAATTAATTTTTTTGAATTGAATTGAATTGAAAAGAAATTTAATTGAATTGATTCTGCATAAAAACTATCATTATGAAACAAATAAGCCTTTGGGAAAAACACCATTATGAAATAAACGATGACTATGAAAAAGACATTTTTGAATTAAAAACTGCTAGAATTAAGTCAGAATTCCTCAATTCCTCCAATAATCTCTACTATTGGGGTAAAATCACATTGAAATACTGCATTTTTTCTGTGCTTGTTCAGATAAGCATATTTTTAAAGAACATGAAAATTTTCATGAAATGTGTAAATGCATTCAGTTATTTCACAATTAAATTGTCACATTATATATTTATTATATGTTCATATAGATTCTTATTTTACAATGTTTTATTTAAATATTTTATTATGAACACTACAGTGTTCTATACAACTCCAATAAAGTTGAGACTTTATGTAAAAGATAAACAAGGTGGAACTCGACACTAAAGCCTTGAGTGGTATGCCTCCGCCTGCTCCAGACATGTCTGCCTTTGAAGCACAACTTTGTGCAGATGTGTGAGCGTGAATGCACAAACCATTGTACTGGAGCTTTTGTCAGTGGAAACCAGGTTTTTTATTTGTACTGTTGAAGGATTAGAAGAAAAGGACAGTTTTATATTATCAGTCATCCATAAATGGCCTTGACCTTTGACCCTTTGATGCCCAAATCTAATCAGACTGAGTATTACCCTAATGGAGTTACTATGCCTATTTATAAGTAAATAAATAATTTCATTCAGGAGATATTGTGCACAACAAGACAGCACAAAACTGACAGCCAGAGAACAGTATGCCTCCAGCCCCAGTGGGCCTCAGATTTATTTACAGTCCACTTTTTCATCCCTGTACAGATTTCTGCTTCTATTACTGCTACCAAACATTTTTATTCCAAAAAGTCCAAATTAATTTCAAAATAAATGATCCATTTTTTGTTGCTCTGAAAATGTAACTGAAATCAAACCTTTGGTTTTGTTGATCAGGGCATCGGGTCACAGAGCTCACTGGGAGGAGGGAGCAGGTTCTTAAAGAAGGCTCCCAAACCAGCTAAGAGTAGCCAATCACCTGTCAGCAGGATCCAAACACGTCAGAGACCAGAACCAAGGTAAGACTCTTTATGGATAAGTACAAGAAAAATATTTTCTGAGTCAAAATGCAGCGTGACTGCTGAGTCATGAATGACTGTGCTGAAATTAGCAAAGATGCTGAGTTGTTTAAGCTAAAAGAAGCACAACACAGGCTAAATAAAAAAAAAAATCTAGCTAAAAGGTGTAAAGTAGCAAAAACCTACCTAAACAGTGGGTAAAAGCAAAAGTAGTAAAAGGTCATCAAAAGCAGCAAAAGGTTTTCTAAAAGCTAAAACAAGCAAAATGCTATTTTAAATGTAAAGTAGCAAAACACAAGCTGATAGCTAAAAGAATCATAAGAACAGCTAAAAATAGAAAACACCAGCTAGAAGCTATAAGATTTAAAAAGTAAAAATAGCAAAAACATGGCTAAAAGAACCATAAAGCTAACTGAAAGTAGCAGATTGGTAGCTAAAAGTAGCAAAAAGATAACAAAGTAGCATAGTATTACCTAAAAAAATACATAAATCCTAACTAAAAGTAGCAAAGTGGTTGGTAAAAGTAGCGAAAAACTAAGTAAAAGTAGCAGAATAGTAGCTAAAATAGCAAAAAACAAAGTAAATGTAGCAGAGTTGTAGGTAAAAGTAGCAAAAAGCTAACTAAAAGTAGCAGAGCGGTAGCTAAAAATAATATTTCTAAGCAAAAGTAAAGCACTCTGCAGCAGATTTCAAAGGAAACAGTGTTTTTGCATGACTGATGTGTTCTTAATATATTCAGTATATATATACNCTTCCTGGTATGCGAGGCAGGAAACATAGCCTTATATGGTGTTTTTGGGGTGGTAATTATGCTAATCTCCTCTCGCGTGCACGAGCAGCTGGATAGAACAGGTGGAATTTACGCAGCTCATTTACACACTTTTCCTGAAGATAGAAGAGTTTGTTGAATCTGAAGTGATGTTCGTACGAACCCTTTGTACGAACAAAAGTAAGAGAAATTTAGGATACGAAGGATACGAACATGTTCTTGCATGAGGCCCATTGTTCAGAAATCACTGGTACTCCTTTGTCTACAACAGGATATTTTCACCATCACTTTGAAAGGAAGACGTTTTTGTCAAACACAACTGTGTCTTTTTTGTATGTGCCTGTGTGGTCTGATAGATTCATGCTTACAGAAATGTCATTACTGAAAGTAATACTGCAAAACTGCAAACTCTACTGTTCAATTGATATAAATAATTTCACAATGTTTGGCCTTTAAAAATAAATAAGTCTGATTCAATTGATTCCACTGGAAAAACTGAATTTGTGCTGAGCAGCTCCACTGTGTGCTTACAGAAAGCATTTAGGTTAATAAAATTACACTGACACAAGAGAAAAAAAAGTGTAAATAATACATGAAGGCACTTTGCGTTCACATTGGAGACGGTTTGTTGTTATGTGATACAATGACTGTTTAATAAAGGCAAAGAAAGCACCGAGAATTTCTCTCAGTGTGAGATAAAGCTTAAGCCKGTGCAGACAGTCTAACCTGAAACTAGACACAAAACATAACTAGTTTATAGTTCACAGGATCTGCTTGGGTGGGTGGGTGCAGGCAGACTGTCGGCAGTGGAGATGCAGCAGAAGCGGGAGGAAATGAGGATGGGAGAACTTGTTTCTAGCAGCAGAGCAGGTTGAGTGGAAGATGGTTATTTGTTGTTATTTAATGTTTTTTTTTATCATCCTACAAGCTCTGATGTGTTGAAGAATAAAGTTGTTGTTTCGTGTCATCTTTAATATAACCTATTCCCTCGGTAATAAATCTGTTTGTTGATTAATCCTGCAGTCACTCATCGATGTCATCAGCTCATCATTTTCTGTTCCGTGGGTTACCTTTTCACAAGTCGGTCTGCCCGGCTCGGGCCTGGCTCTGATACTACCCTGCTTGGGGACTCAGAGGGACATAAGAGGCTGGCTCACTTTAGCCCCCTTGCCACCTTCGTGTTTTTTCTGAATGCAGGGTTCCCACACCTTGGTCAACATCAACTTCAAGGACCTCTCAAGGACTTTCCAGTACCAATTTCCTCAAATTCAAGAACCACACGTGATGACAATTACCTACTTCTACCGCAGTTCTTGGGCAGTACTGCTGCCTGTTACCAATAAACAGGTTTAATATCATGTAAATTCAATGAAAAACTGAACAACATAGAAGTTGTTGAGTCAGAATCAATGAAAGAAAGTGGATTAAATGTAACCTTACATGCATATCTACAATACATGGACATGTAATTATGTCCTGGGAGGTTTGGCAGCTCAGTTTGGGAGGAGGGGATGTGAACATGTCCAGACCCTCGGTGAGGACAGGAGGAGCTGTGGTGCTCCTGGGCTCAGAAAGAAAGACCGTCTGTTCTGATTGGGTAAAACTATGACCATGGCTCACGTTATTTGTTGAAAGCCATGTCAGTTTTCTGTAATCCTGAGTTATCCACCCTGGGGGTCCGGGCCTCTGTGCTCATGCCTGGATCTGCTCTGGMGCGTTGGGTGCCGGCGGGGCCTGTGAGCTCGTCACTGCTGGCCCCAGGGGTTTACTGCTTATGGTCGCTAGTGGGGCTCTCYCAGTTCTTTCCTGTGGTCCCTTTTGGGGGTTGGGTGGGCGGCCCTCCTGGCGCGGGTGCCTCTTGGGGCTCCGCGCTCAGGGTCCCTCTTGGGGTCTTCGGCGCTGGTCTCCCTTATGTCGGCTTCGGGCTTTACGGGTCAGATCTGTGGTCCCCCAAAGTCACTTTTAAACATTCCATTGGAGAAGATTTTGTACTGTATTTACATGCATGCTCACAACTGCACACAAACAGGTGTTTAAATCCTGGGTTTTCTGGTCGTATATATACTGAATATGTGTATATGTATAGCTGTGTGAATTTATTCTACTGTACTGTCAATAATCTGCTCTCTCTCTTGACAGAAAAAGAATAATTAAAAGGAAAATGTCTCTTTAGTCTTCTCCTGTCATCTCTCCTGTGTCTCATGTCGTCCCTCAGCGGTGTCTCTCAGGCTGCAGCTCGGAGTCGACTGTCTGAAATAGAGAAACGTGTCAACAGCCGCAGACAGGCCATCGGAGACACTCGACAGGCAGCAAAATCTGCCCCGGATCTGACCTGGGATTGGAGAGCGTTGGTAACAGCGGTCGACGCAGTCCGACCAGCAGAGGCCTCCGAGCAGCTCTTAGCACACTCCAGCAGTGAGCAGAGCCAGAAGATCCGTTTCCTCAAAAACCAAGCAGCAGGGTCCGCTGCTGCTGTGGACCCCATCATTCCTGATGGTAGTGGACGGATCAGAACCAGAACCACTGATCCTGTGGGTTTGAAGCTGAAACCTGCAGCAGTAACCAGAGGTGTGAGTCTGGATAGTGATGAAGAGGACATGAAGAAACTGCTTGGAGACTCGATGGATTCAACAGACAACAGTTCCTCTGGACCGAAGAAAACCTCATCTGTAAAAAGACTAAACAAGGTCTTTAAATCAGGATGTTTGTTTTATACATTCTGTGATGTAGTCTTTCAAGTCTTTCCTCAAGTAAAAGAGATTATCTTAAAACTCAGACATAAAAGATGAGAAATACGTTAGTTCAACTTATTATTTGAACACTTTTCATGTTTTTATTGAATCAAGCTTTGAGGACATTATAGTTTTAGACAAAGTGAAAACCAGAAGACACTTCCTGTGTGGTGAACAGATTCTATCAGTTAAAACTTGTTGTTTTTGTTGTTATTAATACAGGAGCAGAACCGTCCCAGTCCGAGGGTCCAAAGCCCAGCTCCTCCTCAGGCGGGCCCCTCCTCATCACCCCCCAGCACGCCCCCGCCTCCACATCGCAGTTCTCCTTTCCGGTTCACCGACCAGGCTCAGGTCCACTTCAGCCCCTCTGTTCTCTCTGCACCACCCTCTCCCCCCAGCGTTTCCCCGTCACATTCAGAAAGGGTGGGCTTGCCTCACGGGGCGGGGGCTCCACGGGAAGTCCTTTTGTCTCTGTCAGAACAGGGTGAAGTGTTTTCTCTGGAGGAACTGGTTCCAGTGAGACCTGAAGATCAACACAGTCCCACGGGTTCAGTTTCCTCAGAAGGTGAGAGGTTCTGCTCAGGTACAGCTACTTCCTGTAGGCATGTGACGGTCCTCCAGCACTGGGACAGGTGTTTTTTATTTTATTCCAGTGATCAAAGGTCACACTGCAGACCTGCAATGTGTTCATTAAAATATAAAATATATATTTTAGTGCAAAGAGTCCACATCCGATTTTTAGCCCAAGTTTCTCTTTCCGACAACCGTAAGGATGCTCCAATTATCGTGCTGGCTCTGAAGATAAATGTGAGGAGATATTCCTGCCGTGTGTTCAGAGTGATCCAGTCGACTCAGAAGGACGTTGGGACCGCTCCAACCTCAAATCAGGCATATTCAACATGTTGGATTGTCTTGGTCTGATATCGCAGCGTGTGTGGTGTTCCCCGAGGACAAACGAGCTGCAGCCTGTTGGACGTGATGTGTAGCCAATCAGAGAGAGGTGATGGAAACACGGAGGAGAATACAAAAGACAAAACAACTGCCACGGAGGACCAGAAAGTCTGATGGAGTCAGAGACGTCTTTTTGTTTTGTTTTTTCTCTGGTAAAAATCATTTACAATCAATCACCTTCTTCCTCGTCGGCCATGTTTGTTTACTCTGAAATCACGTTTGATCTGTAGATTTCCTGTCTAAATGTGTCGGTGTCTTTGCTGTTATATCCGTGATGTTTTATCCTCGCATGTGGGCTCGCTCAGCTTCTGAAAACCTTCCAACAGATTTAAAATCTTGCTGTCTGCTGTGGGCATAAGAAAGTGCAGAGAGTTTTTGCTTCGCTGTACGTTTTGAGTTCTTAACCAGCCTGTTGTAAATGTTGAAAGTAGAGATGTACCAAGTCAATCATGAGTATTGGACAGCAGTGCTGACTAAGACTTGTTTTCACTGATCGACTGTCTCTTTGAGCGTATGCTTTTTTTTTTTTGTACTGTCCGGTGGGAAAATATTTACATAAATAACTGTCATGCTGGCACTAAAAAAATCTACCTGAAGCCACAGATGCTAAAATAAACACGACTGATACAGTCTTAAATTGGCGGCCATGCATTTGTTTGCAAATGCTTTTTTAATTTTTATTTTTCCAGAGTTTGAAACAAAAATCCTCTCATGGTAAGAAGGTGCAGAGTTGTAGCCATTTGGTCAAAAGATGTGTAATTGCTTAGCGTGTGTGTTTAGAAGGACTCACAGCTACTACCACACCAAATGAGGTTTCTTTAAAAGCACTTCAGTACAAGATGTTTCAAAACAACAATATTTCTGTGTCTTCAACACTCTGCGGTGGGTGAGAAAGACTGACGGGTGTCGAGGACAAAACGTCTCAATCAGGACATCCCCAGATGAGACTGCTGTTAGAAACTTTAATTAGAACTGAAAGATAAAGTTGTCTTCTTTCTTTCTTGTTCTTCAGACTTTAAAACCAACTTAATGACAATAGATGAGCTCCTTCCTGTACCTGCTGGCTTCACTATGGAAACACTTGGAAATAAGGTAAGAATGATGACACCTCTGTTTTAATTGTCTACAAGAGCATTAAAACAAGGACGGATAAAAAAAAACATATTTAAAGTTAACAGTCCAACATGTGAAATGTGAAAACCACAGAATGATACAGAACCTCAGTTCAGATTTGCTGATGTTAATTGCCTTTTTCAAATTATGTTTAATGTAGCATTTAGAGCTCACATAACCTAATGGATAAGGAAAAATATATAAAATTTAGAAAAACTCATCATTAGAAATTCTTATGCCTTACTCTCCATCAGCAACTTTTTCATTTACTATTTCTTAGAAATACATTTGATCACAATCCAGCAAATCAGGCAGAACAATGAAATCCCTCCCTAAAAATCCAGTTATTTGACTTAAAAAAAAAAAAAAACAGAATACAGAAAAAGATAAAGTTGATTCTCTGCTGCTCTCTCCAAACCAAACCCAATGATTATTGGAAAAAATTCTAACTTAATCATCTTGCCTGGAGAGCTTTTCAGCTGCTCTGAGAATCAGCTGATCTTCTCTGTAGTACACGGTGAGTCAAAAGTCTCAGGACACCCTTTTATTTTATAAACCAAAGGGAAAATGAAACATCTGAAAACTCCAGCAAGTAATGGATGGGTTTTAATGATACTTTAGGAAAGTCCTGACTGGATGTACTTCTACAACAGATTAACTTTTCAATTCAGTCCAATTCAAGATGGCCGCCACAGCTAATCAACATTCAGACATACAGATATTGAGGTAAAACTTGTAGCTGAGAGGCATTCTCAACACAGACTCTGAGTGAGACATCTTGTGCAATCACATGAGATGATCATAAAGTTGTTCAGCAGGTTTGACTCAAACAGCTACATCTCTGTTATTTCTGAATTTAAAGGGGACCTATTATGCAAAATTCACTTTTTAAAGGTTTTTTACTCAACTTTGGGTATGTACTTCTTAAAAAAACAGTCCTAGGACCAAAAAATGCACCCAGGGGCATATTTACTGTAAGTAAATGTATTTTTAATGTATATTAACGACAAGTTTTATACATCCGTGATTTTGTGATGTCACAAGCCGTACGACAACCCACCGGAACCTGCGTTCAGCCCCTTACCTAGCAACCCCCGGGTGAGACTCCACCTCCTCAATATAAAAAGCTGTCATGGTGTTGTTGTGTAATGCACAGCTCATTTCACAACAAGTCTCCAGTAGGGCAATGGGTAGAGTGTTGGACCAGAGAGTGGGAGACCAGGGTTTGAGACCAGCACGGACACAGTTTAATTGTTTGTTTATTTTTGTTCATTATGAACACATTTTCTCATCTACCTCTATTGTTTAGCTTATTAAAGCCTTGTTAAAGCCTATTTGTTCGAGTTTCTGAGGTATTTTGACCGTTGCTGCTCCCTGCTCTGGTAACAGCATGCAGAGTGAGTGCAGAGCAGAGGAGGGGGAGAAAAAAAGAAGAAGCTGCGACCACGACTCTGCCTCTGGGTCTCATATGTTTGTACAATGGAGCTTCTGCTATTATTAGCCATGCTAACGTAAATGCTGGCTTTGGAGGGCGGAGTTAATGTCAACAGATTTTTGGAGGGCGTTACCAACAGAGCTCATTACCATAAACAGCTCTTCTGAACAGAAGTCAGAGCAGGCAGAACTAGAAAATGGGAAATTTTATTGTCTGAGAATTATTTTGTGCATTAAATTGAATGAACATGGTCTGGATGGCCCACAGACATACCATAAAAATGTCTAGGACCCATAATTGGTCTCCTTTAAGAGGATCTTGTGATGTGGCATGAAAGCTGGTGGGTGATGTCTGTTGGTTGACTCGTCAATTTGTAAAATCTGTAAGTTCATACATATTCATTTGGAGAGGCACATTCTATTGAGCACAACTGTTTAAAAATTTTTTTAAAAATTTGAGCTGATTTTCTTTTATCTGTTGACTCATTATTTCTTTGTTCCTGCAGCTGAGTCAGCGTCAGAGCAAACATGTCCATCTTGTTTCTGGAACCCAACATGTCCACCAGCAGCAGGAGCAGGAGCAGGACTACCAAAGTGATTTTGAAAGCGATTCCAGCATCAGACCGGTTTCAGAGCAGGTGCAAGAGGAGGCTGACGAAAACGAGGTGCCATCAGAGGCCCCTGCTTCAGTTGGGTCTCATCAAAGGACCGGCGACGATTACTCTCCCACTTTCTCTGAGCGGAGTTGCTCCAGCACTTCACAGACCTCAGATCACAGTCAGAGATCAACATCAGCATCACCTGACAGTCAGAGTTCACATCCTCCACGGAGGAGCCGGACTTTAACTAGAAAGGCTTTGAAAGAAGCAGCTACTCAGACTCAGCCTGCTGCACTGGCTGGATCACAGTCATTTGGTTAGTCTGATAAATTAAGATTATTTAAGGTTATTTTGAAACTGATCATGCAGCAGACACCACTGCTTTTATTTGTTTATTTATTTATTTATTTATTTATTTATTTATTTATTTATTTATTTATTTATTAATTTATTTATTTGCTTGCTTTTTGGTCAACCTTAAATGTAAAAATCAAAATCAGTCCCACTGAGAAATTTTCAGTAGTCACTGTTTTCAAATTCTTTATCTCAAAAGCTGCAAAAAGATATTTTGTTTACTGAAATTAAGAGATTTGTCCTCTGGATAGCAACAAGCTAGCTTAGCCCATGAAGGCACCTGTTTGAAAACACAGTTATCAGTCTGTAGAATAATGTCTTCAGGAATTCCAAGTGGATATATTTCAAAAATATGACTTTTAATAGATGATTTCATTTATGGGGGGTGGGGCGGGATTATCCAAACCAACCTGGCAGGCCTCTGAGGAAAAAATAATTGCCCTCCTTGTTGAATCATACATTAACTAATCTATTTACTTTTAAAACCAAGTTCAGTTGGAGCTGATGTGGGCGGAGCTAATGTGCACAGCCTAGAAAAACCATGCCCACAAAGCAGGTTGTGATTTTCCATATTCCACGGTACAAAACATGTCAACTCAGCTCGTTTGTTTAATTTGATTACAATCACTCAAAGCTTTATAAGACGAAAAATAACGTTTCCCACTTTTAGTTGCTAATTGGTCTCCAACAGTCCCACCCTGGTGAGAGAGACCACCATAAGGATTTCTTTGACCTACTGACAAAAGAACGGCGCAGTCTGTGTTTGACCCGCACCTCTTGTCTTTGTCTCCAGGTGTGGACCTGGCATTGAGCAGGCTCTACATGAACACCCCTGTGGTCACACATACCATCAGTGCAGAGAGACTGGAAGGTACGAGTCACAGAAAACCAACTTTATGACCTGAATTTAGCCTTTTTTTTGTTAAAGGGATCCACGATTAGTTTTAACATTAAACTTTATTTGGTAAACATTTATTTTAACTGTAAAATAAAGAC